GTAGGAAGCTCTCCACACACTCACCAGACCTGGGCTAGGACTGGGTCTGGGGGTTCCCAGAAGTCGGCAGAAATTCCTACTCGGCGGGAGGGGTGCGGTGCGGCCTGAGGGGGCAGGAGAGGGTCCGGCCCACGCTGCGCCTGTGCTGGGACTGGTCCCCCCAGCGCAGGGTAGCAGGAAGCTCTACACACACTCACCGGACCTGGGCTAGGACTGGGTCTGGGGGTTCCCGGAAGTTGGCATAAATTCCTACTAGGCGGGAGGGGTGGGGTGCGTTCCGAGGGGGCGGGAGAGGGTCCGGCTCATGCTGCGCCTGGGCTGGGACTGGTCCCGCCGGCGCAGGGTAGCAGGAAGCTCTCCACACACTCACTGGACCTGGGATAGGACTGGGGTGTTGGCTTTCTTGATGGGAACTTAGATTTCCTCATTGCCTCAGGACCTCAGGGCCTCACTGTTGTTGAGGATGGCTGTGGTACTTTCTTTGGGAGCTCTGGTTCTTACCTTGGTGTTGTTTTCTGGTTCCAGTTCAGATCCCTCAGCCTTCTAGCACAGATTCTTCATCCTACTGGTATCCTTCTAGCTTCCAACACTGGTTTTTGGGCCTTTCCAGTGCAGATCTGTGAAGGAGGCTTACATGAGACATTGTCATGAGCTGGAGGCCTCCAGTTGGACTTGTGGGATGCACTGATATGAGCTCTAGGTTTTCAGTCGGACTCATGAAGGATACTAGTGTGGGGTTCTAGGGCCTCAGCTGTACTTTTTGGTCTTTAGCGTGTGAATAGATTTCCTGTACTCTTGTATGTGATTCTTTGGGTGATTACAAGGTAATCTTATAAATGTGTCTTGTATTGTATTGCTCTCCTTGCAAAAACCCCAAACCACAAAACTCAACATGTGGAACTCACCCTTACCATTTTCATGGGCTTTTCCATTTTATCTCTTTTGATAATGACCATTGTAAGTGGGGTGAGATGATGTTACAGTGTTGCTTTATATTTCTTTTATGATTAGTTACTTTCAATATTTTGTATAAGCTTACTGACCATTTGATAGTATAGAGACATGCAAAGAAAATGCCCTGTCCTCTTTTGCTACATGTTTATTAAATTCATTTGCCAATTTTTAATTAAACTATTTATTTATTTATTCATTGCTGCCATTGAATTTTGGGATTTCTTATGTTTGAGAAATGTATCCCTTATTGTGGGAATAGTTTAGAAATATTTTCTCTCATCCCATAGGGTGCTTCTTCACACTGTTGAGTATTTCCTTTGTTATAAAGAATAGTTTTATGTAGTAATTCTATTTGTCACGTTTTGCCTGTGTTGTCTGCACTTCTGGGATTATATAGAAAAATTTTTTGATAAGACTAAAGTCCTGAAACACACCCGTATATTTTCTTCTATTAGTTTCAGAGTTTGAGGCCTTAATATTTGATCTATTTAGGTGTTTGTGTCTAGTGAAATTAGTGTGTCTATTTCTTTCTCTGTATCCTTTTGTGATTTGGTGGAGTCATATGGTCTGAGTAGGTCCCTTTAAATTCATATATCAAAACTTAATCTCCAGTGTGTAACATTAAGTTGTGGGGTATTTAGAAAGTGACCTAAGGAATGACAGAGCCCTTCTGAATAGAATTAATGACCTTGTATAAGGTTTCAAACAAATTAGCTGTACCTTATTGTCCATTTTCCACGTGGGAACATAGTATTTGTCCCCTCTGGGGAACTCAGCAACAAGATGCCATCTTGCAAGCAAAGACTAGGCCTCCTTCTGGCAGTAAACCTGCTGGTGACACCTTACAGTGGACTTCTTAACCTCCAAAAGTGGGAAGAATAAAGTTCTATTGTTCATGAATTACCTAGTCACAGGTGTTTTGCTATAGGACCAACAATGGACAAAGACATGGAGTCAACATCTTCTAGAGCACAAAGTTCCATCAGTCTTTCATAGACATATATAAGATGTACAAAAACATAGTCTACTCACTATGTCATCTGTAGTCTACCATTTTAAGACATTCTATTATAAGAAGAATCAGAGGAATTAAAATAATTTGTGATTTGAGAGTCTATCTGGATATTCCACTCTTTATGATTCCTAGGTTCTGAGTCCATTCTAGTAATAGGTAAGCAAAGCTGTCTAATAGCACTATGCCTCACTTTCTCTTTCTAGATATGTTAATATACACTCTGTACATCTATTTGAGTTAGGCAACAGCAGCTATGTATTTGTTTTTTCATTTGCTATTTCCCGAGTTAACACATCCTGCACCAACTGTTGGGTAGGTAGAATGAACTGGGAAATTTCTCTATTATCTGTAGATAGGATGCTAAGATTGTGTTCAGATGCCCCCCCCCCCAAAGCCTCATGTGGTAATAGGTATGGCTTTTTCAGAGGTAGCTGCATTTAATTTGCATGACACTGGAATTGATTCATGATGCAATTCTGGGATTACTAGCCCTAGGATTAAAGGTATAAGTGTTATCCATTTTAAGTAGTCTGGATAAGACAGAAGGGATAGAAGGAGTTGTAGTCATCCCTTGTTGGTTTGCTACCTTCTCTCTGCCATGAACTTTGTCTTCTGCAATATTTGTCAGCCATGCCACCCTGCCTTGCAGCTAGTTTATTATAGACTGAAGCCTGTACAAGCTATGAATTAAATAAACCTTTTCCCCCATTTACTTTGGGTTTTGAGTATTTGTCTCAACAACAGGAGAAGAGAGACTAAGATATATGAGAGCAATTTTTATTGTGTAAGATTGTATATGTATAGCTTTTCTTTCCAGAATCCAAAACCCATGGTTACTTCATAGGGATATTTAGGATACACACAAATAATCTACTAACTTTTGCAATCTCAGTTTACCTATCATTTTTTTTATTCCAGAAAAGAAGTTTACAGAAAGAAACAACATCTGAAAGATGATAGGAAAATAGTAGTGGACAATCATAGTAGTGACAGCTTGGAGAGCTGGATCAGGTCCCGATTGATCTCAGCAACCGACCTGCAGCCTAAAAGAACAACACATTTATGAAGCTCATTTCTCTCATTTCATGGAGTTCAGATGATACCATAGGAACGAGTCTCTGATCATAGTACTTATCTGACCAATTGCTATCTGTTCAGAATGAATAATGTGAATCTAATTGCACTGGAAATTATAAGTATTTTACAACTCTATTTCAAGTTTTAGCACAGTCATGTTAAAAGGTCAGGGTAAAACCACAAAATTTTGATTTCAGCTTTGAAAAAAAAATCAACTCTCATAAGCAGTGGATATCCCTGAACCTAATCTCAATTCTGATAAGGCACAAGGATATGGGCAGGAATACACTCAGGGACAGTGTAGGTGATGGAGCACCCCAATTTTAAGGGAAATTTTTGTCAAGGTAACAGACCCTACTTTAGTAGATCATAATTAATATGTGAAATGATCCTGTAGCTGAGATTATAACACAATGATGGAAGAGAGGCCCTTCAGAGAAAAACTGAAAAGAGAAGGGAGAAATGGGGGCTACCAAGGTGATATGGGGCTGGGAAGTCATACACTTGAGTAGACAGTGTGAAACTCTGGTTGTGAGTAAACTGCAAGAATTTAATATGGGCTATGGATATTTTTTTCTTTTCTTTTATTTTTTTTTGTATATTAGGAAAAGTTTTCACTACTAGTTTGGATTCGTAGTGATCTGCCTTTTTACAGCCTCCCAAGAGCCGGGATTACAGGAGCATGCCACCACACCCAGTCTCATTTGCTGTCTCAGTGCACCCCAGGGGCGAGACTGGCACAGCAGGCCCAAGGGATCAAACCCTTAGGCCCTGTGGCTACTAGGCTGTGGATATTGAACTTGAATTTCTTTCCATATCTGTGCTGTATTTACCCTAACATTTCCAAAGCAAATATTAGCAAAATGTATTGCATGTGAAATTGTAACTAAGGAGAGGCTCATTTCCTAAATATAGAAACACAGTAAAGGATTGAGTTTCTTGCCTGGATTGATTGATGGGGACAGAAAACAGCATGCAGAGATCTATGGACAGTCTGTTAATGGAAGTAATTTAGGAGAAACATGAGTTCAGAGCCAAACTGACTTTCTCTTAGTTCAAGGAGAAGAAAGTTTTGAATTAATACTGTTTAGACAAGATATCATGTCTGCATCTTGTACTATGAACAACTACTACAAAGACAATACGTGATGTATTAATTATTTTACTGTCTTACTAATCTGTTTTGAAACTGTCTCATCGCTACTTCTTTCTCAATAAAATTAATATAAATAAGAGCCAGATTGAGTCTCACTGAATATGCAATGAGCTTAAGGAAAGTCCTAGGTTTCCACCTGCAGATAACAGTGCTTAATCTTCATCTAAAACACTTCTTTCCTATTCTCTCTTCTGGATAGCTGCCAATGCAGGGAAGGTCTAGCTACAGGGGAGGGCTGCCACTCCAGTTCTACAAACATTTGACTTTAAGATCCAAATCCAGAAAACATTTAAAAACTTACCTATAAGGGTCATGGAACTGTGGAACTCAGTTTTTAAAATATTCAAAACTTCCTCAACACCATGTTCACCCTGTTCCGGAGACAGAGTAGAACACAAGAGCCTTCAGGAACATTCCATCCATTTGTTAGGTACAAATACTAGATAAAGTCAGCTTTGTGGCAGGAAGGATGGGGGGTATCTGAGAAATTGAAATCATTTTGGGAACAAAGGAAAGCAAAGAGAGATAAGGGTAAGAGCTGCTAAAAGTTTGGGACATACTTAAGAAGAGTCATGGAGAGTTGAGTGAGTTACATTTACTTTGCAGAATCCTTGAAAAAATTTGAGTGAGAGGGGAAAGATTAGAAAAGCATGAAAATGAGTGAAAGGCTCTATATCTTTCCATTGGTTCTTATGTGGCCATACTCACCTTGCAAGCAAGACCCCACAGGACTGGTCGCCCAAGAAAAATGCACTTAGCTCCTAGAGCCAGAGCTTTCAACACATCATTGCCAGTTCGAACCCCACCATCCATGTACACTTCAATTTTCCCTTTTACAGCAGTCACCACTTCCACCAAAGCATCAATCTGAAAAGACAGATACACGTGTGACTGCAAGGATTTCTGTCTTTATATTCAAGGGGCATGGGTTGGATGTCCTCTCAATGTAATACAGGATCAGGAAATCCAAGCTGGGGTCATGTTCTTCACATTTCCTTCCCTTCTCATGCTTGAGGCTCCTAATTTCTCAATAGCAGGTGCAGTGACATTCTTGAGCACCCAGGAACATCCCGCAGACTCCCCTTCCTGCTGTTTTCTGCTTCAGTACAAGTCTACCTTCTTGCTGACCTTCTTTTAAATATCTGTAGAGTGGAAGAGATGCTTGGTTCCTCTATTTATTATTTATTATTTATTTATTTATTTATTTTTTGTGGAACCAGGGATTGAACTCAGGCCCTTGCACTTGCCAGGGAAGCGCTTATTCCACTGAGCCAACTCCCTGGCCCTCCTCTTCCTATTTAAAAGGAACATTTTTCACTTGTAATAATGAGTTTGGGGCCAGGTAGATAGCTCAGCAGACTAAGGTGCCTGCTTAGACAGGCACAAGGACCAGGATTCGGGACATGTTGAGACAGCGAATAAGACTGGATCTGGTGGCATATGCCTGTAATCCCAGAGCTTGGAAGGCTGAAAACAGAAGGATCACTATAAATCCAATCTGTGTAGTGAAACCCTGGAGACCCTGTACTAAATACATAAAAAAATAAAAGTATAATAATTACTTTAACATTAAAGAACACGTTGAGGCTTTATTTTTTCTACTGCATCTGTCCTAGGGTGGCATAGTTAGAAATGTCCTGTACTGCTTAGGGACTAAATCTTTAGTAAAACAAGGGTGACCAGCCAGGACCTGACCTGGGGACCTGAACACTCCTGTCTTGGGAAATGGTATTGCACACATCATTCCTTAAGTCATCGTGTCTGAACAACTGGCCTTTCACCCACTAATGGTTTATCTGATGAAAGGAAATAGGACCAACAGCTTGCTGAAAGTTTAAGCTTTTGAAAGCCAAAATAATCACATGTTGTCACTCTGGCCCAGTTTCTCCACTGAATTTTGTAAGCTATTTGTCTCTCATCTGTCATGAGGGCTAACCAGGCCTTGAAGCTCTGTGGTCACCAAGCTCTTGGAGGCCCAGTGCCTTGGCCTCCAAGTTTATGAGAGGGACCACAGAAGCCTGCTGTTTATGAGGGGGATGGCAGCAGCCTGCCCCTCCCAGAGAATGGGTTCTGGGAAGAGGCCATTCTGAATTGCTTCAGGGTTCTTGTCTCTGCTTCTCCCAAGGACACTAGAAAAGAAGAGTTGAAATTGTACCCTATGGGCTTTCTGCTGTATAAAAATACAATCAAAATTCCACTGGAACAAGACCCTTGTACTGAGACTAAATAGAATAGTAAACCAGGGAGAAAAGACTCCAGTGGGTTAATTCATAAGTAGAAGGAAGAAATGAATATGTTTCAGATTTACATGTGATAACCAGAGAAATTCAGGTCCATACATTATATGAAATATTTGTGTGATGTTGGGAAAAGACATAAATGTATCTGTACAAACTTGTGCAGCCAGAGTAGACAATGAAGTTGATGACAAGTTCAGAAATAGAATGGGGAATGAATTTCAGCCTAGGATGTAGTGTAAATTTAGAATTCACTTTTAACAGGTTAGAACATGACTTTGTTAGTCTTCTGAAGATAACAGCTGACTAATCCTGTGTTTTGGTTCCAAGAGAAAACAATGGCAATGTTAGATACGGACTTATATTGAAAATGCTATTTTTTAGCTCGCAGGAGGGGCAAATGCCTGGAACCCCAGCACTCAGATGGTTAAAACAGGAGGGTTGTCATTAATTTGAAGCCAGTCTGAGCAACATGAGTTCAAAGCCACATTAAACTACACAGGGAGACCATATCACAGAAAAACAAACAAACAGGCTAGGGACATAGCTCAGAGGTCTGAGCTCCTACCTGGCAAGCACAAAGATCCAGGTTTGATCACCAATACTACATGCCTTGCCACTGTGCTGGCCACTGAGACAGCACTGGGGAGGCTGAGACAGGAGAATCACTATAAGTCTGAGCTGTGTAGTGAGATGCTGTACCAAATACATACGTACATACATACATACATACATACACACATAGATAAAGGCCAGCCGAATAGCTTAGCAGATTAAAGTGACTGCAAGCAGGCTCAAGGGCTAGGGGTTATATCCCTGGGCCTGCCATGCCAGCCCCACTCCCGGGGCACACTAAGATGACCATTGAGACTGGCCGTGCTAGTGCACACCTGTAATTCAGCTTTTGGGAGGCTGTAAACAGAAGAATCACGATGAGTCCAATCTAATAGTGAGACCCTAAACATCCTGTAGACCCTTCCCCCCCGCAAAAAAAAGAAAAGAAAAAAATACAAAACAAGAGATAAAGATTTTGATTTTTTTTAAAAGAATAATAAATTTTAAAGTTGTAACAATGAGATTGACACTCACAACGTTGCAGTCATAGTCTGGTACCAGCCCAGTAAGAAGAGTGAGGAACGTACCACAGGTACAAAATCTAGGGAGTCATTGAACCCATTGGATAAGTGACAAGTGAACAAAATGTTTTTTGTTAATCAAGTGACAAACTGCCCTGAGAGATGAGAGTTTATTTGAATAGACTAAAGCTTTATGTGACCTTAGGCAAAGATTCATGTGAGATGACAGGGTTCTGTAAGAATAAGGTCCAATTCAGTGTTTATTTTAAAAATCAACATTTTTGTTCATTGTATATTTTTTAATGTTAATTTTCAGTTTCCAGTATTTTATTTTTAAATTTAAACAAATTTTTTGACACAGGAACTCACTGTCTATTTCAGGGTGACCTTGAACTTACTATGTAGCCCAGGCTGGCCTCAAACTCAGTGATCCTTCTTCCTCAGCCTCCCAAGTGCTCTAAAGGGTGTGTCACCATGCCAGGTCAATTTTCAATTTTTTAAAATAATGTATCAAAATATTAATTATCTTACTAAGGTTTTTTGTACCTTCCTAAAGAGCTGTCCCTGGATATATTTGTGTTTGGATATTATGCCAAAGAGCTGAGAATGTTGATCAGCAAAAGGGAGTAGGAGAAATTCTCTCTATAGTTGGTGCCTTTGCTGAGGTTCATTTCTCAGAACAATGGGAGAATTGGTCTGCCTCTTCATACCCTCATTATCCAGTCCTTCCAATGTAGCAGGACTAGCTGACTTGATTAAAGAGAGCCAGAACCCTATAGTACATTGTCTGCATTAGCTTGCTTTCAAAAGCCATCTTCTTCTCAGTTTGCTATTCACAGATGGTAGGCTCTTCCTTGATTTTCATGGTTGTTTGATAGGCACAATTGGGAATGACCCTGGCTCTGCTGTTCTCTTTTGTGTTCCTTGTTCCACCAATGACTGGGTGTGTGAGAGACGGACTTGTGGGTGTTCTTGCATAAGTTGGGTGGAGAGTTCCACATGTGTCTTGCACACACACTTTTTATTCAATCCACAGGACAAGAGGTGGGACAGGAAGTAGGAGGCCTATTCAGACTGCAACAATCCTTAATCAGAGAGACACAGAAAGGTACACCACTTGCCCTCCACAGAGACCTGCTATTCTTCTACCTGTTCTCTGCCAGCAAGCCATACACAAAAGTGAGGAGACACCTGAAACCTCTAAAAATCACATGTCTAAGGGACTGGCCAAATATCTCAGTGGATTAAAGCACCTGAAAGCAGGCACAGGGGCCAGGGGTTTGATCTCCTGTGCCGGCCCCACTCCTGGGGTGTGCTGAGAAGGCAATCAAGATTGGGTGTGGTGATGCATGCCTGTAATCCCAGCTCTTGGGAGGCTGTAAAGAGGCAGATTAGTATGAGTCCCATCTAGTAGTGAGACTCAGAACACCCTGTAGACCCAAATACAAAAACAAACAAACAAACAAACAAACAAACAAATAAATATCACCTGTCTTAAAATCATGACAGTGGTTACTGATGACTTTCTACATCTTCAAATCATCTTAAAGAAACAATTGAGATTGCGTTAGGGATTATAGCTCTAATGATTTTTGTGGATGCATTTTTTTCAAAATAAGTAAAGTGGAAGCTATACAAATATTAAATAATAGATTTGTTATATAAATTACCTATCATAGACTATACTGTTAAGCACGAGGAACATATATTTTGAAACAAAAGACGCTCCCAATAATTTTTAAATGAAAAGAAGTATACAATATCATGTTTAATTTTCCAACTGAAATGCTTACATTTACATTAAGAAATGTGATAAGAGGTACCAAAATATTGATGTGAATGATAATGATGAAAATAGAAGTGATAGCTGTTGTTCTCTTTTTGTGTTTATTTCATAGCCTTTACTTATGTAATATCAAGGCCAAAAACAGGAGGAAAATTCTCCCTTGTTTTTTCTTCAAATAAGTCAAACAATAATAGAACAACCTTTTGAAAAAGAGACATATGTATCTCCATGAAAATAAGTCAACAACTAATGCCTCTGCAGAGGCTCCTTTACAACTCCCTTCTCAATTTCTTCCCCTTAAACGCCATAAAAAATGAACATAGATACATGAGTTAGGGAAGAGAAGGCATGCTTAGATTCTAATAAAGGATGCATTAAGCTAGTTTTTGTTTTATCATGAAGAATGGTTATTTATTAGTTTAGGAAAGGCCATGCTCCTCCTTGAGACATGCCCAAAGCAAAAACATGCAGGTGCAAGTGTGTGTGTACTTCTCATTGTGAGTATACAAGCTTGATCCGAACACATCCTTCAGAAGGGGCCTATGTCTGTCTTTGGGACATGGTACCTACCCTTCCTCACCATTATTTGAACTTGGGAAAGTTACTTGACATTTCTAAACTCCAGCATCCTCATTTGTAAAATAGGTATATACCTGTCTCACAACATTATCACAAGGTTTAGAAATTATGCACGTCAAATTTATAAAAATAGCTTGATATTCATTAGGCTATTAAAATAATTAGCAATCTTTAACATCTATAGGGGACACATGTAATAAGAGGATACTGTGCATTAGATTGCACAGAACACCTTGATGTAGACACACACAGCACACAGTTCTAAAGTCACCCTACTTACTGAAGAGGGAACCTCATCAAGCTGCCTCCCACCATGGTTGGATACGATGATGCCTTGGACCTTGTGTTTCACTGCCAGCTCTGCATCCTCTTTTGTCAGAATCCCTTTAAGGATGATAGGCAATTTAGTGATGCTTTGCATCCTGGAGAGATGATCCCAGCAGAAGGATGCATTGAAGTGTGTAGGCTGTGCTTCAGATGTGAAATTTTTCTGTGGGAAATTGAAAGATAACTGAGTCCTGGACAGCTATAAGACTACTTGACCTATTCGAAAAGTGAGACATGTTAGAAGGCTGATATTTATGAGCTTCAAGAGAGAGGCAACAAAATACAGCAGAGTTTTTAGCTCTTTTCCCTAACAATTTATATTAAGATTTTTTACAATTTCTTTCTTTCTTTCTTTCTTTCTTTCTTTCTTTCTTTCTTTCTTTCTTTCTTTCTTTCTTTCTTTCTTTCTTCCTTCCTTCCTTCCTTTCTTTCTTTCTTTCTTTCTTTCTTCTCTCTCTTTTTTCTTTCTTTCTTTCTTTCTTTTTCTTTCTTCTTTCTTTCTTTCCTATGGCTCACCCATCCATCTTTATTTTTTATTTTAAACTAGTGTCTCATTAAATTGCTCAGGTGGAACTTGAGCCTATGATTCTCTTATCTCGGTGCTGAAATGGCATGTTTGTATCACCCCACCTTGCCCTACTTCAACTTCTCAGTCATGTCTTTGTTCCATATCTATTCCAGGATCTGGAGATAAGACAGAATCTCTAAAAACATTCAGTTTTAGTTTGTAAGATGAATTACTGAAGTACTTAAAAGTCAGTTTGATATAGACTATAAGACCAAAACAATACTTAATAAATCCCAAATCAATTGTTATCCAATACCTATCACTGGCTCATCATCAGATGTCCTTTAATCTCCATGCACCTCTGGAAACTGCAACAAAGTTTCAAGAACACCCTGAGGCCATAATGGGTAAAGAAAACTGTTGTGTTTTTTGGCTACTGACTAAAATGCTTGTTATTACTAGCTCATACAGCTAAGGAATTCCAACTTTACTCTGGCATTTTCTGTCTGGGGCACTCTATCTCTTAAACTGTGAGCTTTTCATAAAAGGGTTCCTTTGTAGTCACTCATATCAAAGGGATCACAGAGGTACGATGCAGTATCTTGTCGCTTCAGGATTGAGCTATATGCATACAGTGACATTGTCTCCTCAGTTTTTAGGGCAGCAAGGTGAGACTTATTTGAGTAGGCTAGCTGGTCAGTCACTGCCTGTGAATATCCTCTTCAGAGCATCATATATTTACAAATGCCATTCATAATTATTGCTTTCTTAGTATGCCTTTAAAAGGAGAAAACATTAGATGATACATTTAGTTTACTTTCCTATTGTTGCAAAAATCATTTCAAAGGCTTTCCCATTTCTATACAGGTCGGCAGCACCATAAGTAAGAAGATGTTGCACCATGTTCCGCTTATCTGGCAGCAGGAGCCAGATCTGCTTTATAAACTGCTGTCTCCCAGATGTCTGGCACAGGACAGGGACTCAAAAAATGCTTGTGGAAAGAAAGACAAGAAGGAATGAGGGAAGAAGGAAGGACACATGTCTTTAACAGCATCTGTGCATTGACCGTGGTATCCTTATTACCTCTTCTGGTGACCCAGGATACTTTATCTTCATCTTCTTCTGCAAATCCAAGTGGTTTCGCATGTCATTTCGCCTTTTGCCAGTAATGGGTACATCCACAGTGATTACCAAAGCTTTGAAACCCAGGGATTCTGCCCTCCTAACTATATATTTGTTTATCTCCCAGTCTAACTGCACATAGAGCTGGAGCCACCGGAGACCTCTTGGTGCTGTAGCAACAATGTCTTCGAGGGTACAGCTGGCGAATGTGCTGGTGATGAAGCAGATGTTTGCTGCTTGGGCAGCTGCAAAACAAAGAAGACATATTTGGAGGACAGAGGCATTCTGGACTGGGGTGGGAAGTCCAGGTTGTTTGTGCTGCCTCTAGCCAGCTTGCCTTTGTTATTCATCTCTCTTAGGTCATATATGGAAGATAGCTTGATCAAACCAAGAGGCTAAAATTGTTCTGGTACTCTTCAGAACGTGAACTGTCTTGTAAACCCTGGGCCCCATAATAAAGTGCTTCCAATACAGATATCATTTAATTCACAGAACCACGTTGGATATATTAAAGCCCCCCAAAAAGGAAGCAGACTTTTATAATTTCTTAATGAAATAGAAGGGAAATAGGTTATTGGATGAGAAATTTAATTCCCCTGGAAGAGCTTGAACTTTTAGTAGTGTCTAAAACTAGAAGGCTGCAAGTTTTGCTCTCTTGCTTGTGATCTTGAATTTCTCTTCCTTTCTCTGTAAAATGAGAGGAATAATAGTGTCTTGCTTTTGTTGGGTGATCCAGTGGGATAACAGCTATGGAAGCATTCTTTAGTCTACAAAGTGATATAGTGCACACACGTTAATGATGAGGAGGTGAGTGGTGATGCTGCTGTTGATACCTCTTCTGCTACTGAAATACACATTTCCAATTTCCCATTTCCTTCATTTCAGTGAGTTTCTTTAAAAGCAGGTTAATGCCACTCCTGTGCTACAAATCATATGTGAATTTATTTGGCCTGATCAATCATTAATGTTGTTCATTCCTCATCTCAACAGGAGAGATCTCTCTCTTAACCTTACTCTAAGGCAATGCATTCCTAGATGATTTAGGAAGCTACTCATTTTTCTAAAGTATTCCATTTTCAACCTGGTCACTTTGAGTTCTAAAATCATTGGATTCACTACTTCCTTCATCATGAAGTCAGAGAAGAACATCCCAGGGTAAAACAGATTTGGGCCAAAGTGAAAGTTACAGAATCCCCAGAATATATATTTTCAGTTCCATCCCTTGTCATCACCATTGCCACCATTGTTATTACTGGCATTATTAGTAGTAATAGTAGTAATAGCAGTAGTAATATTGACATTGGTAGAGAATAGCTGATAGAAGGGAGGTTACTAGGAAAGAGACATAACACAAGAAACTTTTTTGTCAAAATGATGACAGAGTCAGTTGAAGAAACAGGAAATGAAACATTTATAGATGAGCAACTGTCAGGGCCTTATGTTAAGATATAATGTCATGATTTGCTCCTCACTCTAAACTCAGTGACTCACTGTTCATCTCCATTCCTGGCTTCTAAGATGCCAATGAAAGCCCTATCTCTACAGCCAACCTTAGGGTTTACCCAGGGACGTCCTTTTCCTTACTGATTTTGTGATTCAGTTTGGACAAGTGCCACTCTTTTGAGAGATAATTTGGCTGAATTTTAGTGCCCTACTTTACACCGTGGCCTCTGACCCACTCTACTTATTTATTACTATAGTTGATGAGTATTTTCTCAATCTTGGGTGAGGGAGATAGCTCAGCATCATAAGTACCTGCCTGGCTAGAACAAGGTCCTGGGTTTGATACCCAGTACCAAACACAAATAAAAAGCTAAAGTCTTAGGTGAAATGCTAAACAAATATGGCTTTAAACAGTTCTTTCCTACCTTCCTTAATTCCAACCAGACTGCTATCCCCAGGTACTTCTAGGAGAAATCCTGGTGTTTTCTGCATTGCTCTAATGGAAGCTTCCTGCACATCTCTAGCCTTCTGGGGAGGGAGACCAAAGATGAGATTGCTTTGTACCTCTGGCTGTGCTCATTTCTCCATCAGGCCAGATGTAGCAGTGCATAGCTGTGGGTGCGATGCAGATGGGGGCGCTTATCTCTTCCCCTTGGATTGTGGTTCTGATGTCCACCTCTGACATATCTCTCAGATACCGTGGACGGAGGCGGATTCTGTGCTAGGCAACAAGCATAGATTCTGTTGGCAAGACGAGTCTCCATCTTGGCTACATTGCCTGGAGCTGGGACCTTCGACACCTTGCTCAAGGCTAAGCCAGCCTAGATCCTGGCAACATCTTGCTGGGTACAGTTGGCTGATCTCAGTAAGCAGTTTGGGACCATCAGGAGGCTCCTCTCCAGAAAGCTATGCCCAACATCATATTCCACATTTACCCAGCCATGTCTCAGCTGCTAGTGAACCATGGCCCCCAGGACCCCTGTCTTGCTTTTTGAGTTTCTGTGTCTTTGAACCCCTTTTCCCTGAGTAGCCTCTTGGGGCTTGAATAACTTCATTTATTTAGCATAACAAGATCTGGAAAGGCAGAGGGAAGTTCTGGGTTGTTTCTTCCTCAGCCAGCAGTAAATCCTTAGAAAACAAGAAAGGTCGCTGAAGAGGACAAATCCCGGAAAATAATCGTGACTTTTTTGCAGGAATAAAATTCATTAGACTATTAAACTTACATATTATTGTACTGATTCAGGAAAAGATAGGAGAATTCACACTCAATAAATTTGTAAAACCCAATTTTAAGACAGAGTCCCAAAATTTTTTCATTCTTAAATAGGTATTATTTTTGTTCATAAAATTAGGAAAAATTCCAGGAAATAGTAATGTGCAAATCTGAACAAGATAGCATCTCTCATTTCATCTGCAAAATATGAGCAATAAACCAAATTTTCTAACAGTTTTATAAGGACAAATAAATGCAATCATTGAAAGTATTCAGTGTTGGGCCAGCCAAATAGCTCAGCAGATTAAAGCACCTGCAAGCAGGCACAGGGGCCAGGGGTTTGATCCCCAGGTTTGCCCTGCCAGCCCCACCCCCTGGGGGTGCCCTGATATAGCAATTGAGACTGGACATGGTGGCATGCACCTGTATTCCCAGCACTTGGGAGGCTGTAAACAGGTGGCTCACTAAGAGTCCAATCTGTGAGATCCTAAACACCTTGTAGACCCTTCCCTAAAATACAAAAAGAAAAAAAAGTACTCTGCTTAGTTAATCAAGTATGAAATACAAAACAGGCTAATGTTCACTTCAATTTCATTTTTCATTTTTCTCAACTTCTCTATCCCAGAGGTCACAAAAATTTTAAAATAAGGGCTAGACACTAACTATTCTAGGCCTTGTGTGTTATGGTCTTTGTTATAATGATTCAGTTTTCTTTCTATAGCACAAAGGCAGTTACAGATAATAGTTGTGTTTCAATAAAATTTTATGGACTCAATGTCTACACACAGTCATTTAATGCTTCATTAAAGAACAGACGTGTATACAAGGGTGGGATTTTACGGAAAGGTGTGTGTAGTAGGCAAGGATTGACAGGGACTCAGGGAGAAAGAGGCAGTGGAGAAAATGGGAATGGTTGAGGTAGCTTGAAAAAAAAAAAAAAAGAAAGAAATGTTAGGCTTTCTGAGGTGAATGCAACAACCAGGCAGTCCACAGCAGTTTGTTCCCACAGGTCTCACCAAGATGACCCACTATGTAAACTTGGCAACAGTCTAAAGATCAGCAAGCTGTTCTCCCCAAAGACTGAGAGAGGGGCCAATGGGAGCCACATAAACCCCATAAAAGCAACCCACAGTCCCCACATTGGGGGCATTCCAGCTCTGGAACACCCTTCTCTTTGGTGAAATCCGTTTTGTTTCCTTATAATAAACTCACTTTCACTTGGCAACTTCCTTATACTCTTTGCTTCTAGTTCTACGTGGGGCTGAGAGTCTGGACCCAGAAACATCATAAGATTCGTGGTCACAACCCAAAACAACAGAGCTGTAACATTGTGTCTCCTACTAAAAGTTGTAGCTAGTTTACATTGTAGAATTTATCATGTTCACACAATAATGAAATTCTCTAACAATGCAGTTCTCAGAATACATTCAGAGATACCTGCTTCTTAAGTGATACATGATTGTAAGTTTTATACCTCTTTTTCCTTTGTCAGTTGGGTTTCCTTGCCCCAAAAATTTAAAAATGAAAAATCATTCTTAGCTTGTGATCTACACTAAAGTAGGTGGCATTCTATACTCGACTTATAGTGATTGTCTGCTGATTCATTGTCTATTCTCTTTACGTTATATCCAAGTCTTCTCCCTTGGATCAACCTTCCATCCCCTATAATTCTCCTGGGAGCATCGTTATTTTCTCCAGATTGAACCCTGATTCTTGTCTTGCATGTTTTCTCCTGTCTTGCATGTTTTTCTTATAAAAAAGGTTAGGAATTCAGGACTTTTGGGCCTCAGAATGTAATATATTTCTGGATTCTTGTCCTACCTTTCGGGGTTAGAAAATTGTTGAATATGGGAAGATGTGCTAGTTATAAAATAAATTTTTCACTATGAGTTCTTTTTTGTATCATCTCTCCAAAGCAACAAAAAGACACACTTTTTGTTCTTGTATTAGAGAATGAACCCAGGATCTTTGCATGAGCTACATTCCCAGCCATGCTCTCCTTTACATTTTAAGGTAGAGTTTTACTATATTATTAAATTGTCTGGGTTAGAGTGAAATCTAGCCTCCTAGAGGGCTGGGATCATAGGAAGGCACCACCATATGTGCCTAAAAGTCAAACTATTGTATGTTGAGCACTTTGTATTCCTTGCAGACAGACACTAGGTATACTAAGTGCATCCTCTAAGACACTCTCAACCAGAACATCTTTGTTGAACAATAGGGAAGATTTAGAAAAACAGACCTTTTAAATGCTGCAACGTTGTCATCCCGCGTGATCTCTTCATCAGCACCACCTTCGATAAAATCCCAAATAATCTTAGACAGCTTCTGCCGAGCAAGCACCTGAAAGTCTGTCAAACACACCAAGGACATTTCTGGACCTTCAAAAGACCAAGCCAAACCAAACATGGTGAGAACAAAGCTGACATAAAGAAGGTCAAAGAGGAAATCAGGGCAGAGTTCCATGGATGCAACATCTGTCCTCCTCTACTCTTTAACTTAATGGAGTTGTAACTGGCAGTGCAAGACAAGATTTTGGAAGTCAATTTCTTTATTCCATAGAGATAAACAATTTCTTCATGCTTTCTCTTGCTGAGCACATAAGCAACACCTTTCCTCTCCTTGATCTGAGGAAGTGGCAGAATATGCAGGTGCCAGCCCCATAAGGCCGGAGCCCTTTCTCCTTTCCATAGGAAAGGGGAGAATGAACTGAAGATGGCTGGGCATCATAAAGTGAGAGTGGAGATCTACCTTGTCTCTGTGCTCTGACTCTTCCTTCCTGTAGAAAGGGTTTACTTGTACGTGGTGAGTTGGTGGCAGGAGGCAAATGAGCCTCTTCATCTCCTTTGAGCTAGCTTTGGGTACGTCCTTTCTCTCAAAATAAATGGACTTCTTGGATTTAGTCGGTGGTGAGTAAAGGAACATGACCCTGTGAATTTAAGTGGCTGTAACAGTTACTGCTCAAGGGGCTGGTCCTCCAGCCACATGGCAGACACTTACACTCCCCCAGTGCACTCACCCATCTTTGCTCCCGAGTCCTGATCTCCTAAATGTTTCTCATGTCTGCCCTCCTACAGTTGTAGTCCCATCAACTTTTAAGACTTTTTTTTTGTCTTTGTAGCTGCATCTGCTCTCCATCTTCTCTCCCTCTGACTGCCTCCTAGAATACACGTCTCCTCATGCTTTTGTTCTCCAGTGCCCATGGCATAGCACTCACTGATTCTTATTTTTTTATTATTTTATTTTCTTTTTCTTGTATTTAGGACTGGGTCTACAGGGTCTCACTATATAGCTTGGACTCATTGGCAAGCACTGGGATTACAGGCGTATGCTACCAAGCCCAGTCTCAATCGTCATCTCAGCATGCCTCCTGGGTGGGGCTGGCACAGCATGCCAGGGATCGAACCCAACCATTGCACTCTCCCTAAGCAGGCGCTTTAGTCTTCTGAGCTATCAGGCCAGCCCTGCTCACAGAGCCTTCTTAACTGCCTCACCAGCTTTATTTCCTGGCAGCTGTCCCATAGACTTCTAATTCAAGTCCCTACATGGGAAAATTGAGCTGAACTGACATTGAAGGGAGTACCAGGAACTGAAAGGTGTCTGAATCTTCTGGGGCTATGGACAGTTCAAGGAAAGGAGCTGGACCTTTGCTACTCTTTGTCTACAACATGAAACATATTGCTTATTTCTAGTAGGGCAAAATATTATCACCTAGCTCTTTTAATGTTTGCTACTTTTGAGACCAATAGTGAACTGTGTGTTGCTTCCTTTCACTCTCATTAGTGACTCAAAGTCTTTAAAGCTGGAGCTTGTGTTTCTGATACAATCATCCCAGAGCAAAGAAAGAGGGCAGTTTGGGACTGCCAGTAAATTTCCTCACTGTGAGCAAAGCCACTGAGGTCATTCATAGCACGCAGGATCCTCATGTGGGAGGAATCCAGATGAAAAGGCTGAGGCACTGTAAGTTGAAAACTAATCAACTCCCAGGAAGTAAGCAGCAGTGTCAAAATCAGCAAATGATTGTAGGTAAAAACCAAAGGACTTTTATGTCACTGACTAGAAGAAAGGGACAAGTCTCAGAGACTAGAACCTCACCAGGATGAGGTCAGTTCTTCTACGGGCTGAAGAATGTGGAGGGCTAGGAATCTTGGCTGGAGTGCAGAGGAGGCACAACTCATGTGAAAGCTTCCAGGGTCAAGCACAAATCTGGTGAAGTCAAACCCTGAAGTAGCCCTTGACAATTACTAATGGGACTAAGTGGAAAAAGTGACATGACAGAAAACACAGCCCCTGGGAATACTGATCCCAGTTAGAAGCTAGAAGGAGGAATTCTGGGGACAGCCACAAAGATTTTCATAGGAAGCCTTTTTAGTGGAAGGGTAAGAAGCTATAGAGGTGCTGGTGTGTATCTAATGTACTACAACAGCCATATTTAATTTACCATAGTTTTACTTAACCATTTGAACGGTCCATAAACCTTAGCCCAATGAATTATTGATTATATTTTTCCATCTACATTACAATTATTTACTATTTTATGAACAAAAAAGATAATAATATAGTGGGACTCAAAATGTTGCCTTTTGAAAGATCTGATTACAAGGCTGAACCTTATCTAGTTTTTAGAAATGTAAATTTCTCACCACTCCCTGATAAGAGTGATTCAGTGTCTCAGCTGTCTGGGGCCAACAACGTGATTTATGGTTGTCTCAGTCACTCTTCTCTCATTGCTGGGACAAACACCCGACATGCAAAACGAAGGAAGGAAAGATTTATTTAGCTCACAGTTAGTAGGGGTTTCGGTCCATACTCAGCTGGCTCCAAGACAGAGTGGTACATGACAGAAAGCAACCTTTCATGGTGTTGGCGAAGAGCAGAGCAAAACGAGGGGCAGCATCTCTGGCAGCTAGCCAGCCCCACTCCCTTCCTTACATTATGATGCAAATCACGTGCCCGAGGGCAGGTACAGCACCCACACCCACAATAATCAAGAACAAAGTCCAGAAGCTGCCCCAAGACTGCATGCTTTGGCTGGACACCTAGACACAAACAATAACAATGCAGAATACCTTCCTTACCCTTCTAGTCTACCTAACAGCTCCTCTTGATTTTTCTCTGACATAACAGAAGTATTCAGGATAATGAGGGCAATAATTTCCCATTTTGCATTTGGAGAGGATGGGGTCTAGGAAATAAATAAGTTATGAAATACATGTCAGAAAGTTATTACAGGAAGTGTTCTGGAACTGTCTCCCAATGGCTTCTGAAGTAAGATACTATATTCTCTATTTTCAATTTAATGTTAAAGAACAAAATAGTGGGCTCACATAAATCATAAATCATTTTTATATAGAGCTATTTTCTTTTTATAACATATATAAGGCTAACAGAGCCCAGTATTCTTATTAGAGAATAATATAAGACCTAACAGTTGACACGAAAAATAAATTTGTAGTTCAAAGCTTCTGCAAATTTGAAGAAGAAGAAATTAGCAGAATGTAATTGTTTTATATTTCAGTCTGATTATACCAGAACTGAAACTACAAGACATGAAAAGGATTTTATTTAATTCTCAGGTCCTTGTGATACAGAGAACCTCCAAATGACACAGGGAGAAAAACTGATCTCCCAACCTAAAAGGTACCTGGGACAAGTTTGTGTTCTCTAAAACTGAAGAATGAATTTTAGGAACAAATGGAGGTCATGGGCAGAATATATTTATTGAGGGAAAGAAAGCGCCTGTCCAAGAGAGGGACAGGAGGGAGTACTGAGCAGGTTGTCCCCAGGAAGCTGTCTCTTCCAGGGACTTTTATAGAGGAAAACCATGTAGTGAGGTGGGTCTAAGGTGGTGAAGAAGACATGGGAACTCGCTTAGGTGGGCATAAGGTGAGACAAAACTATGGTCAGCCAATGAGTTCATAAGCACCATTGCTCAGGTAAGATTGATTAAATCCAGTATCAAATGGGGAAGCGAGTCATGTAGTAAGTGGGCATGACTATGGGACAGGGTCTCTTCCTGTTGGGGGTTGGGCTAGTGACTCATTTGGGCTCTTTCAAGGTGATTGACACCTATTTCCAATATCAATCCCTGATGCCCATGCCTAGGGAAATATGTAGCTGTGTTTCCTCTTTTGTCATGAGGTCTGGCCCATGTGGAAGTGTCTGTCTGTTCCAAGTTGTAAAGTCACCTTGTCTTCCATCTTGTCTCCTTGAGGGCCTGGCCTGTCTGACTGCCTATAATATTTCTATCTCATTCAGGTGCCTACAACACTTACATTGTGAAAGGGAAAGAAACTGTTGAAAGGGAAGGAATAACTGGGATGAGGAAAAGGAGAAAAACAGGCAAGAAGGAAAGGAAAAATATAGAAATACATATACACAGGTTAGCTTGGATAATTGTACTGCTGTTTTCTATTGGTTTACTGAAAAGGACAGTTAGTGCTTGATTGTTTTCCTTCTTTTTAATTGTTTGACCCATTTTGCATGCTTAGATCTGGTCATCTGAACAACTAATTTGAAGACAACAATATGCAGTGTAACAACCATTGCTGAATTCCTATCATTTTGTTTAGTGAAATTCTGTATCATTTCTATTATTTTTTTACTATTTTTATTCTCTTTAAAAATAAATAAATTAATTAAAAGGTTTCAAGTTATTTAGTGTGTTCCAATATTCCCATTTTATTTCTTCTTCTTTCCAGTATTTTTTTTTCTTCTGTTCTTTACTACTTCAACTGTTCAAAAGGAAGAGACATAATGAGATAGTAAAATTTGTATACACTAATACTATTTTAGGAGTGCTAGTTCATTTGACCTCTTCAGACTTTTTGCTTTATGGTTTCAGAAATGCTTAGGTCCACCGAAACAGAGCAATGAGAAGAAAGCTAAAATCTGCAAGCAAGGGTATTCTGCCACATCTGCTGGTAAAACTCTGAAGTTCAAACTCTTTGTCCTGACTGAGAACTCAGAGTGGATCTGCAGGCATTTAGAGAAAGGTCTTGCTCTTTTCTGTATTGTAACCTGACCAGATCCACGTCAAAGTCACATTTGAAGATTTTATGATTCAATTGGTTCATGCAGGCGTTACTTTCAGGACTGGGTTATCAAAGTTTATATGTGCATGAAGGACTCCCAGAGAAGATTGTGAAAAATCTCAGCATTCCTTGAAACTTACAGGGTAAACTGTGGAAACCAAAAATGGAGAAACAAAGTCTGCCTCTGAGAACTCACTTTACACTGTAAGGTGTGCTGCCAACCCCTCTGGCCTTGCTCCCTAGGAATAGATGCCAGGATTCTCTGGGGAATAAAAGAGATAACGGCCAGGACTACACCTTGAGGTTCTATTTTCAGAGATAAACTGCTCAAGGCCTGCTGCGCAAGC